ATATGAACTGCAGTTAATTTTGTTCATGATGGTGGACACCCATCATTAGTTTAAACAGCTACTGGTTAACCAACTAGATATTAATGCTCATCTCTCATGCCTAACCATTTTAATTAGCATAGGCTATCAGACTCGAAAAATTCATGCCTTCATGTATCTTAGTGCCAGCATTTTCATGCTCACTGTCCCTCATGTAGCCAACTCCAATTTTATTGGAAACGTAACTTTGTTTGTGGTTTCTTCAGAAAAAATAACTCATGGTCTTATCTCACTCCAGTGGGACCGTACTTAACTATTCATACCTGTAAAGGTCTGTTCTATCTAGTTAATATCATGTTATATCTTTTATATGTTTCCATTTGTGTCTCTCTTTCAATATTCATACCCAGAAAGTTCAGCAGTTCAACTAATTTCATATTAGAGAGTAGACAATGCATATTGATCTACTAGTACTATTTGACATTAGTGAAAATGTGATGTTTTCCAAGTTTGGATGATTACACATTGGGAGCATGGGATGCTTTCACTAATTCATTATTGAAGTCAGATGTCAATAGTTGAAATATCTGGGTTCGTCCTCTATGGCAATATGCTGAATCCATTTTGATGCTTTCCAGGTTAAATGTATTCTGCGAATGAGTGAGAATTTAGAACAGAGAGAAGTGCAAGGCTTGGGGTTCCCGTCCCTTGTTAGATACTGATATATGCTAGAGTGACAAAATTCAATTAAGGTTGATCTACCAGCATGGTTTGCTTATGATTATATAGGCAGATCACTTTAATCCTCTTTGGTGAATCTGCAGATGGTATTTTCGGCCTTGGCCTTTGCGCAGAGTGAGGTATTGTGGTATTTCCAGCACATTGGAATAGCATCATCAAAATCAAAAGCAACCCGAGTTGTTCCAGTTGAAATTGTAAGAAAATTATATTTTTATGTGGGTTAGTGGAATACAATTTTGTAGGATGTATTATATGTATTAGGTATAGAGCATTTCACATCAAAATAAATCCTTTTTGATGTTTGATTCATGGAGGCAGGACCCAAATGATCCAACAATTGGGTTCTTATTGGATGGAATGGACTGTCTTTGTTGTCCGGTGCGAAAATATATTGCAGGTCAGATACTCTTACTAAAGCGCTATAAGAAAAATCTGTTTCTGTTGATTTACTCTTCATGCAAACTTCTCTTTTGTCTGGTTCTTTTTATTAATACCACCAATTACGTATTTATTTCCTGCATTGTTCATGGACAGGTGCACTAATAGTGAATTGTTAATTCATTATACTAATACATGTAATATATGAACGAACTAATTGTATAATTGATGGCAAATTGCAATGAAGTTTCTGCAGGGGGTGCATGGTATACAGTTCAGTATTAGTCCCCAGAAAGGATGTTGTGAACGTAATATGTTTCTTAACAAAGTGACCATATGTTGAACTGTGTTATTTATTTTTCTGTTCGTGTGGTATGCTAATTAGCAAATGCTATCCTTTCCTCCTCAGCCATTAGAAGCTATGCTTTATCATACCTATCGTCATGTGCTGGTAGAATCCGTTTTCTGCTGGGTACACCGGGAATGGTAGCTCTTGACCTGGATGAAACCTTGAAAGGGATTTTCCAGAGGATTGTTCAGCATCTAGAACATATACCGAAGCCTCAGGGTGAAAATATTTCTGTCATCACATGTGATTTATCTGTAAGAATTTATCTGATGGTCACTTGTTTTAGTTTCTTTTTTAATACATTGTTACTGTGATTTACCCAGTCATGTTAAATGCAATATGATGTGGAATGTTCTTTGAATCAAGGTAACTAGATAGAAGCTTAGCTTGTGTTTTACACTGCTAATGATGTGTCAAGTTAAATGAAGTCTAGTATGTTATAATATCTCCTTTATATTATATCACAATAAAGTGAAACTTCATAATATGTCATTTTTTGATATAATTAATTCATAGATAAAGCAACATGAAGTTATCACGTGTAGTCAAAACATTTTGATGTTCACTATGTTTTTGTTGTTTTTTGTTGCTTCTGGGCATACTCGGCCTTTTCTTGAATTAAAATTTGGATCTTGACATAGTAGCAATACACAATACTGTAAGAGAAACTTGTTGGAGCCTCATGATATAATATGCAAATTTCCACATTGTGCCTGTAGTTGTATTCTTCTATTTTCATTAGCCCCATTAGTATACCTTCAAGTTGATTTTCAAATTTTGAAGGTCTCTCTTTTCTATGGTCTGCATGTTGGAGATACTTAGTGTATTGTGCTGTCGATTTTTAATCTCGTAATAAGTAATAGAGTGAACCAATAAATCCGAATATCATTCCCACGAGAATTATTATCTAACAATTGGTTAAATTATTCCTAACTTTAATTTGATCGAAAACAAATAGTAAAGTTTTGTGATTGGGATCTAAATTATTCTAACTAAAACTAAATTAATACACAATTTGTCGAATTTCGTTTTTAAAAGTATGAATATGGATGCTAAGACTTACAGTTTTACCTATGGATCTTCTTTAATTCGCCAATCAAGATTTATTACTATTGTAGTGTTCGGTCGAATTCTTCTAAAGTATTCAATTTAGCTATCTCGAGTTCTCGTTGAGTCTATTTAATTAATTTAGTTCCATATCTCTATGTAAATCAATCTTAGTTAAACGAAATATTAATTCTAAGAATTTATCTAATAACCGCAATAATTAGTATATATATCTCTTCTCGTTATACTAAATTACCAAATTTTACCATGTGGTCTAAATCTAAAATTCACATCTTGATTCGTAATAGATTCACAAAATCATTGAATAATTGGCCAAAGAATTCAAAGTATAAAATTAATGAATAAAATCAACACATGCATTTAATGAACTAGAATCTTGAATAAAAAAAATAAATGATCACACATAGATTACATTGTTCGTCCTAACTATGAATTTAGGTACTCATAATAATGAAAGAAAAACAAAAAGTATAGAGTTCATAACCATGTTTTGAAATCTTGATCATGGAAAGAATTTGATCTTGCACCAAGAATCTTCTTCAACTTCAAAAATCTTCAAACCCTAGCTTTTACTCTTTGATTTTGATGATTATGTGTTTTTCTCCCTCCAAATTGTGTGGGACTCTTTCAAAAAGGTCAAAAACTTGTATTTATACTACTTTCCATGTTTGTGTCCAATGTAGGGTTTTTATGGACTTCAAAACGGGCCAAAAATGCACCCAGGCGCCGCTGCCAAAACAAAACCTCATTTAGTATTTTTATTATAACTTTTTCTCTCGATATCCGATTAAGGCGATTCAAATTGAGTTGTAAAGATCATTCAAAGAGCTACAACTTTACCGTTACTATTTTCCAATTCGAATGTTTAATCGGCCAAAAATGGGTCTCAATCTCTGCCTGAAAATCTTGAACATCCTTGTGTGGTTGAAAATTAATTTGTGAAAATATTTTGAACATATTTAACTCCTTTTGACTTCTAATTGCTTCCAATTGACCCCTAGCATTCTCGAATCTTTATAGTGAGTTTCGACACAACTTTTGAGTATTTACACTTTAGTTCCCAATCTTTGGATCTTACCCATTTTTCGTTATTTTTCGCTTTTTTATTTCAATTCCACTTCCATTCATTGAGTTTCACTTAATAACACATTATATAATTAATTAGGTTATAATTCCATTAAAAGAATTACAAAATGTCAATATTTTAGAGCTCGAATAAGTGTATAAAATACACTTATCATATTATCAACTTTAATGGACCTTCCTACCTTCCGCTTAATGTATAAAATGTCATGTTATTTTTGTTGTGTTTTGTTCTTGATGTATTCTCTTCACCCCCCCCGCCTCCCATTTTTCTTATTTTGCTGATTTTCTGCTGTTGGGTGTTTATTGTCATATTTTCCAACAGTGAATCATGTTTTTTAACATTCAGGAGTTACGGAAGGATTGGTTATCAGTTTTGATGATGTTGGGAATAAACACAGCAATGCAAAGTTTCCATAGCATAATATTAGACACTAATAGCAATGTCAAACAGAGTTCAACAGGTTCATCCAATGAATGATAGTTCAATATATATATATCCCTTTGAGAATGAAATCAACATTGCAAGCTTAAAGAAATCATAGACAGAATACTTTCTAAAGTTCAATATTCACATATGATCAGATTACAATATGCTCCAATAATTACAATACAGTATGCAATCAACCTATAGCAATGCATTCACTTATATACTCGAAATCAGCAGGATAGACATCAAATATAGAACTGAAATCAGAACCTAAACAGAGCATTAAAAACTGGACAGAATTAAAAGGCAGAAAGACCTTCCCTTTTACCGTCCAGAGAAGCAGCTTCGATGCCCAGTTCTTCTCCCTCGCTCACGGCTGAAATGTAGGCTCAGGAACAGTCTTCAATGTCACGCAAATCGCCTTCCAAAGGGAGCAAGAGAACCGGCAAAGAATCCCTCAACACTTGGCTTGGATCATCGACCGAAGGTCTACCAAAAATAGCCAAGAATCACGCCCAAATCAAACCTATCGAACCCCCAGAGAAACCCAACCTCTTAACCATTGTTTCAGGTCTAAGGGTACACCAGGAATTTCATCAATACATGGGCTAAGGTTGATTTGTGGGCAAGGAACCAAGAAAAGAGAAGAACCAGCCTCAACTGTGAAGAGGCAGAGAGGAACCAACGAGAGAGACCAAGGGAAGAGTCTCCAAGAAGCTTAACCACGTGAATATAAGGAGTCAAGTCAACCAAGGAAAAAATATCTCACACTAATATCTCACACAAGAATTAATCCCCTCCATTGATCTCAATCCAACGGCCTCACTTAAACCAAACTAACACAATCCGGGTGAAACCAAAGCCACCAATAGGTAAGTGACACCTAGGCAACTAATGGTCCAAATATAAGTCATAAGACAAATGACATAAATAGCACCAACCCAATAGTGTTAGGAGGACCAATACTCACAGATGATTGTTACTTCTTCTCGGTCATCTATTAACATTAGACATTTGGAAAAGGCCACAGTATCTACTGGAAAAGAAGGCTTACTATCAGAAGGAAATGCTGCTTATAACTGGCCCAGGTGTTCTTTCTTACTGCAACGGGGCTTAATTTTATTGTTCTGTTATTCTGGCATGACATTACGCATAACCTCTTTATTGACTTTGTTTTCCATGTTTATTATGGATACTCAATTGTCTTTGTAAGCTGGTGCTTGTTCTTCATCTCAAGATCAAGATGGATCCAATGCTTGGTATACTCGCAAAATGTTGTTTGTGAAATTCCAGTTTGAACCTCGTCTATTTTTAATTTATTATCTGATTCTGTGTACCTGTCATCTTCACTTCGTTAGCGAACATGTTATTGATTGTTTAACATGTTTCAAATAGCATCCATCCTCAGTACTGTGGAGCTGACATTTTGAATCATGGGATTGATCTCCCAAAGTTTGGCATTTTACAGAAATTTGTTGGCTAACTGCCAAATTGGATATATAAGCTTTCCTTCTGTACAATCAGAAACCATAGAGAAGTTTTAATTTATATGCCTTAACTTCGTCAGGGATGTATTTACTGACAGTCATGCATTACCAATCTTAGTGCATGTTCGGAAGGTGATTATAATTTAATGACTTCTCGACAAACCTAATTTTTTTCTACATATTTTGTCGGACCCACAACTGCTACTACTTACTATCCACACATTCCTTAGGACCACAGCTTATAATCACTTTCAAAACATGCACTTAATCATCTTTGCATTATATAACGCATTACTTAGTGAAAATCTTGATTGATGTGTTGCTTGATAGTTGTGTCTCTGTTCTCTTTGCTGTCTAGCACGTTTCTGAAGATTTGGGGTTCCAAAAGTTATTCTACTCTCAAATGGCTAGACTTTATTCATCAGTATAGCTAATGAGTTTTGTGTTGAGGCAGATGTGTAGATGAACTTGAAACTCAGATGTCAAAATATGGGAGTCTGAAGAAATTTTACTTCTATCACCAGCATCTTACTACTGTAAGTTATGGCGACATAAATCTTCAGTTATCACATATGTTCTTTGACCATTAATTTGAAAGGGTAATATAGGTTTTTCGTAACACCATGTTTGGGCTCGAAGGTCGTCCCCAACATTGTTGTGCATGGCTTGGTGTTGCTAGCAGTTTTCCCGAATGTGCTTCCTCAATTGTTCCAGAAGAGTAATTGAACATTGATTAAAACCATCACTCAGATGCTCATACCTTGGCCTGTAAGCCTCAGTTACGTGCAATTAATACTGTGATATGTAAACCATGTATTGAATTCCCACATAACTGAATTTTTTCATGGGAAGCATTTCGTATTCTAACGCTCAACAAAACCTAAACAATAGGATGAAAATGGAAGGGAAAGAGAACATTCTAAGAGTACTTTCTGTTTGTGCAGGATATATTTTATTACATAAAATTTGATACCCACGATTTTTTCACTCGCAACAGACTTTCTTCTTGATTCTGTCATCCCTAAATGAGAAACAAATGCTCCCATTTACTTTTCAGACTCCCAATCATTGTACAGGTGTCCATTGAAAAACCTTCGTCTTCTTGCCTTTTTGTGTGAAGTCCAACACCTTTTCCTCAACCTGTAAGCCACAATAAGCTTTCATTTTCATTAGATTCTGGGTCACAAACTCACCTGCAGTCTACTCCAAGAACGTGAAAAATTTCTTCGATCATAGCTCAGTGAATGCTATATATTGTTGAGTGCTGATTCTGTAATTATTGGACATTTTCAGCATTTTTGCTGCAATAATAACATGGTCTATAGGCCTATGGAATGACTGCAACTTCTTTATGACACAGTTGACTAAAATTGGTCACGATGCAGTTCTATATGTTGAATCCCTTGTTGAATCCATCATGGGAGGGCTGGAAGGTTTAATTAATATTCTTGACTCAGAAGGAGGATTTGGCTCTCTGGAGATGCAGGTTCTTATTCTTCTCATTCTATTGAGATTAGGATCTAGTCAAGTCTGTTGTATTCTATTTAGACTAATTTTATGAAATTTCAGCTTCTCCCCGAGCAAGCAGCAAATCTCATGAATTTGACATCTAGAGTATCAACATCCCCGAAAGTGGCATATGGGTTTCGATTACCGGGCTATGAGAGCAATCCTGAAAATGACAATTCTATCAAAATGTAAGTTATTCTCAACTAATTATACAATTTGATTTTACATCATGAAAAAATACTCGAGATTCAAGTTTCTCAATGTATGAAGACTAGTCTGGTTGTCTAATTTGACGACAGGTTAGAAGCTGCAATGCAGAGGTTGACAAATCTTTGCTCAATTGTGAACGACATGGAACCTATCTGCGTTCTGAACCATGTTTTTGTACTGAGGGAGGTAAATGACTGTCATCTCTCCACATTACTTATGGAATATAGACATGGGGATTAGATCCACTGATAAAGAGTTAAAAATAAAAAAATTAAATTTTAAAAAAACTTATGAACAGTGGATTTAATCGCATGGGAACATATTTCTTATTTTCATGTAAAGGTTGATCTTAGTCTATCTTGCACATGGCAAACGTTCACAAGGCTATCTTGACCAGTGATAGCTAGTGGAAAACTATAGATATTCCACTAAACTCTTGTTTATTATGATGTAGTACATGAGGGACTGCATCCTTGGAAACTTCAAGAGGAGTTTGCTTAATGTTCTGAAAACTGATAATGATCTTCAACGCCCTTCCGTGCTAGAATATCTTATTCGCAGACATACTGCTATTGTCCACCTAGCCGAGCAACATATCAGCATGGACCTGACCCAGGGTATTTGGGAAATTTTACTTGCCTCTACCTTCTGTGGGCCAGTGTCTTCTTTACACTTGTTTGAGAAACCAGCAGATCGGCACACTGGATCAGCTACTGAAGCCGTGTGCAACTGGTATGTTGAAAACATTATCAAGGATGTCTCTGGTGCCGGTATCCTCTTTGCACCATTGCACAGATGCTTTAAAAGCACTAGACCCGTTGGCGGGTATTTTGCCTGGTCAGTCACTGACCTTAGGGAATTGAAAGCCTTTGTTCGTATTTTTGGTACCTATGGAGTTGACAGGTTGGACAGAATGATGAAAGAGCACACAGCTGCACTCCTCAATTGCATCGACACCTCATTGCGGGCAAATCGTGAGAATTTGGAGGCAGTTGCTGGAAGCATGCATTCTGGTGACAGAACAGAAACAGAATCAAATATTAAGCAGATTGTTGATATGGACACAATGGTTGGGTTCTGTATTCAGGCAGGACAGGCAATTGCTTTTGATTCCCTTTTAGCAGAAGCTGCTGGTTCTGTGCTTGAAGAAGGCGCACCCTTGGTCCATTCACTGCTAGCAGGCGTTGCGAAACATTTACCTATTGAAATACCTGAGAAGAAAGAGTTTCGGAGGATGAGAAGAGTGGCGAACGGCGTTAATGTAGTTGGAGACCATGATTCTGAGTGGGTTCGATCAATATTGGAAGAAGTGGGGGGTGCAAGTGACGGTTCATGGAACTTGTTGCCATATTTATTTGCGACATTTATGACATCTACCATTTGGAACACTACTGCCTTCAATGTTGACACTGGAGGATTCAGCAACAATATACACTGCTTGGCAAGGTACGAATACTTGAGTTTTAGTCAGAGAGAGAAAAAATAATTAGATACGCTAAATACTTAATTTCCTATCCGTTTACTGCTCTTTGCTTTTGAAGTTGCCTCATGCAGTCATATTTGAATCTTTATGATTACATCTAGCTAAACAATTAGCTTGCTTGTTGGGTTAATTAGACCAAGGGGAATCTCTATAGGAACTAGTCTCATAGATTTCGCACATAGGAGATCGAGACACAGCCCCAGGGCTATGGGGAAAGATGTAGATCGATCGCCCTAGATCGACAACTATGACACCTCATTGCGGGCAAATCGTGAGAATTTGGAGGCAGTTGCTGGAAGCATGCTTTTTGCTGACAGAATAGAAAATATTAAGCAAATTGTTGATATGGACACAATGGTTGGGTTCTGTTTTCAGGCAGGACGGGCAATTGCTTTTGATTCCCTTTTAGCAGAAGCTGCTGGTTCTGTGCTTGAAGATGGTGCACCTTTAGTCCATTCATTGCTAGCAGTTGTGGCTAAACATTTACCTAATAAAATACCTGAGAAGAAAGAGATTCGGAGGATGAGAAGAGTGGCAAACAGTGTTAATGTAGTTGGAGACCATGATTCTGAGTGGGTTCGATCAATATTGGAAGAAGTGGGGGGTGCAAGTGACGGTTCATGGAACTTGTTGCCATATTTATTTGCGACATTTATGACATCTAACATCTGGAACGCTACTGCCTTCAATGTTGAGACTGGAGGATTCAGCAACAATGTTCACTGCTTGGCAAGGTACGAATACTTGAGTTTTAGTCTGAGAAATAAAAAAATGATTAGATACATCAGGTGATCAATTTTCCTCTCCGTTCACTTCTCTTTGCTATTGAAGTTGCCGCATGCGGTCATATTTGAATATTTATGGTTACATCTAACTAAACAATTAATTGTTTATCTTGATTATGTTGAAATTATGTGTTGAAGCTTTCCATGCTACATATAAATAAAGTCTTTTTTTTACAGTCTCACTCAAACAGGAATATCATCTTCTCTAGTTATTTTACTGACCTACCATTATTATTTCATTTTATATATTCTGGAAAAGGCAGACAACGTGTTTACAATAATCATCTTAATTCTTTTCAAGTCGTAAGTGTTGGTCTATGATTCATGTGGTTTTTAGTCCTTGGGTAGTTAATCTATCAGATATTGTCATTGTAATGATATGCTGACAATGGAAATATGCTCTAATATTTTTCTCCTCTGGCTGGTTGGTTAGACAATGAATTTTCTTTTGTCAGGTGCATTTGTTTAGTGATTGCAGGTAGTGGATTCGTCAGACTTGAAAGAGAGTATCAACAGAAACACTCTCTCGAATGGCCATGTCACCGAAACCTTTGATCCTGAGAGAGAGAATAGTTTTTCGGCAGAAGCTAGCGTAAAGTCCACAATGCAGCTCTTCATCAAGTTCTCTGCCGGGATTATTTTGGAATCTTGGAATGAAAGCAATAGGTAAGACAATGATATTTGCTTGTAAGCTTATGTTATCTTAGTAACATGCTATATTAATTGGCAAATACATTTTCTGGTAAGATGATAATTCTCCTTTATTTCCCTGGTGCATCTTATTTCAACTGCCGAATATATTGAGTAACAGTATTAATTGGTTGAAACTTTTATCAAACGATTCAGAATGATTTCCATACTTGTCCATTTGCATGAAATGACATTTGGAAAATTGATAACATTTTGTTTCTGTCGTGCAATACTTTTTCTAAATGTTTTTAGTTTTATTCATTTGCACAGGTCTAATTTGGTTGCAAAGCTGATCTTCCTCGATCAATTATGTGAGCTCTCTCCCTACCTACCGAGAAGCTTACTGGAATCTCGTGTACCTTATGCCATCCTTCGTGCAGTATACAGTCAGTACTATTTGAATTCTTCAACTCCACTGGCATTATCTAGTTCATCCCCCCGATACTCTCCTACCATGTCACTGGCACATGCTTCTCCTGCATCGAAGTAGCCTTATGGAGATTCTACTCCACAGTCGAGTGTAAGTGATTTGGGTTATTTTAAGTAGGGGTGGGCGCGGGTCGGTTCGGTTCGGTTCGGTTCGATTCGATTTTTTTCGGTTCCAGAAATTTTCGGATATTTAGTAAATGGAACCGTCGGTTCCAAATATAATTTTGGAACCATTCGGTTTCGGTTCGGTTCGGTTCTATTCGGTTCCGTTCGGTTCCGTACTATAATTAAATTTTTTAACATTTAAAATAATACTACATAAATATACCTTAAAGTGGATACCAATATTAATAACAAAAAGTAGATACAAATACCAAGTTCAATCTTAACTTTTACAAATTAACGTAATCTAATTTAATAACATATAAATAATAAGTTGTCAAATACAAATACCAAAAAGTAAATATTACTAATAAAACTTCGATATTCATATCAATAATTCATTTGCTTCAAACCTTCAAATCTACATAAAAGTGAAATATAAATTAGAAGTCACAAATATAAAATATTTTAAAGTATTGATAATACTTACCAACTATTTAATGTAATTATTAGTTGGTTGACTTTCCATACTAACTATTAAGAAACTATATAAGAAAAAATTGAAAAAAACACAACTAACAAACATAAATAAACTCTAAATTGTTCAACTAATAAGATTTAATAAGAAAAAAATTATTAATTTGTTTAGAAAAAATAAAAGAAATTAATTTATCCAATATAAAAAAAAAAGTTCGGTTCTTATTCGGTTCTTCGGTTCTTGGTCGAGAACCGAGAACCGAACCAAACCATTCGGTTCTCGATTCGGATACCCGTTCGGGTATTTCATTTTTAAAAACCCGCTCGATTCGGTTCGATTCGGTTCGATTCGGTTCCGGTTTGGTTCGGTTCGGTTCGGACATTTTGCCCAGCCCTAATTTTAAGGCTTCATCAACTCAAGGTCAAGATCAGTATGATACTGAAAATGGTAGCACAAGGAGTACAGACATCAAACATCGCAATGCTAGGCGATCTGGGCCCTTAGATTTTAGCTTGAGTCACAAGACAAAATTTATCGAAGGCTCAACAGCAAGCAGCACGGGACCTAGTCCATTGCCTAGATTTGCAGTTTCAAGGTCAGGTCCTATATCATACAAGATATTAGAAAAAAACATAGTTGAGTAAATTTTGTATATAATTTTCATCATCAAGAAACAGTGTTATTAAATTTTGGCAATATTTATGTCCAGTTTTGTTCATTCATAAATTGTCCCTAACGACCAATGTATATCTTAAGTTACTCTATTTGGAAAGCCCTTTGTAATCATCAGTTATGTAAGTGGGATAATTAGTTTAACAAATTTAGTTTACCAAAGAAAATTCGTCATCAAATAAATGAATAAAATATAAAATTAATAATAATCGAAAATTATGTCGCAAACAAAATAAAAATAATTTATAAGTCAGTAGTATTGTAAGGAAAGAAGAGGAAAAAATTATGTCTCTTAATTGTCAATATCTCTTAAAACATAAAAAATATTGAAAAAATATATTTTTTTTAAGTTACAACAACAGCATTGTCGCGATGTTCATAACAGATGTGCGAAAGTAATTACCATTGATATATAATTGATAATTTCATCTGAATCATCAATATATATTGATTTTAATTAAAGTTATGTCTAGAAATTATGTATATATGTTCGGCAATAAAATAATAGCAAAATGCCCCAAGTACACGGGAATTATTGCCAGGAGCCTTACAAGATGCGGACCCCACATGTAATTTGAAAAAAAAAAACTGTGCAGGGCCCACCTGTGTGTGGCCTGTAAGTTGCCTGTGAAAATTCCACATATACTTCAAGCACTGTTCTAAATAATATATTCGTGTCAAGTATAAAATATTCAACACAATAACAACAAAATCCAAGCTCGCAGTCTCCCAATTTTCACAGCATCATTAATGTCTCTTGAATTAGTTTTATAATGTGGAGTCCGGTAACACTCACCGACTTGTCTTCGTATTTTTGAAGCCTGAAATCTTCGCTAAATAAACAACATTTTCACTACAACCCCTTAAATTTTGAAAACAAAATCTAAGAGTAACCTACATAATTACTGAAGAAAAAATAAATCAAATAAGTCACATAAGCCCCGACATGGAAACTGGCATTTCCTAGGAAGTTCTGAAGAAGCTCGTCCAAATTTAGATCGAGTAGCCATTAATATTAGGTGGGGATAATAACAACCCTTTTACAAGTATAGATACAAAGGAAAAACCAAACGAAAGACTAAAATTACACTTACAAGAAGCACAAGTACATTCTCCATGGATCAGTTCAACACACACACACACACACATTTCCTCCATCCAACTGTTAATTCCGCTTTCACTTAATGGATGTCCCAAAATTAAAGTCTACTTTGGTAAGTACAATATTGGCTGTTCTCTAACTGTATGATATCCTTGACTAAATATCAGAAGACATGATCTGCACATAATGCATAAAAATCTCAATTCCCAAAAATCAACTATATTTTTTGAGTAATAAAGGCACGCACATGACTCCAAAGAAACATGTGTACTATCCAGCTTGGCATTATTCAGGTAAATTAGGTCCTTGAATTTATCATCATCCATGAGGCTATAATCTAATATTTGATTACTATTGCTTCAGGTAACAGACCAAGTGGTCTAAAGAGAAATAAATCTTTATTGAGGCATGTGGCATGTGAATTCTGATGTTTCTCGTGCACTTCTCCACTTGATTTAATTTGTGTCACAATGGTAGTTGCAATATTTATATATAAATATATATAAAAGAATAACAAAGACGAATTAATAAGAAATAAAAAGCTTCTCCACTTCTCTCGCACTAAAAAAACAAAGCATTTTATTAGAAAATGAAATACAACATTAAAGTAACAACAAAGCTTCTCCACTTCTCACTTTTCTTAGTAACAACAGACACAATAACTAGTATTGTAGCTCCTTTTATTAGAAAAGCCTGTGCTTACCCCGTCGAAACATAAGCCTGTGCATGATTGTTGAGCGGATTAGGGAAATCCATAACCTACAATTTAGCACTGCATATAAAGTGATTGGAAGCAAAGCAAGACCAGCAACAATTTTTGGCAATGTCCCGTCCTTTTCTTCCTTGTAGACCAAAAAGAAGGTTGCACTAAATGTTAAGACCATGCAAACGATTGAAGCAAAGAGCGTAATTAGTCCAACCATCAACTTTGCCGGTAATGTAAATAGAAAATCATCTTCTCCATAGCGTGAAGTTAAGATAGACAAGAACATCATTATAGAAGCTGTCGAGCTAAACATTGCCACTGCATCAGATATAGCAAAAACTGTGAACCACCTATTGTTCAAGAAAAATGGAGCACCTGTTTCTTCCTTATTCCCACCTGGTACAGTAAAGGCTGCAGCAAACGCAACTGTGGCAATTAAGGTTGCCACAACCATGCAAGAAGTTGCAGTGTCCTTCATCCAATCCTCACCGACTTCCCGTAGCTTCTCATGTTCCTTCGTAAACAACTCCCTAGGTGTTTTGTCCTCATCGTTTTTCTTTTGAACATTAAAAGGCAGTACAATCTTCTCCACCTCCTATAAAGATTACTCAAATTAATGTATATTGCACAATCATCCAAAATTTAACTCTAATACGGGGAATTAATTTTTGTATTACGTCGAATAGTTGATTGGAGACTTCTATGAACGTGGATATATATATATATACACACACACACACACAGACACATATATTCAAGATAAATAAGAAATGATACAATTCACCATCATGTTATAAAGTGTTTCTCTTCTCTTTGAGGGGGAAAAGGAAAGGGAATTTGGTAGTCATATTAATTTCTCACCTTAAACCATAATAGCTCTCTCTGCATTTGAAGAGCTGCTCCAGATATACTATTGAGCCTGCTTGCAGGTGCTAATTTCGCAGCCAAGTGCAAAATGTTGTTATTGGAATGATCTGTACAGATCAACAATGAATCTTTAACAGCTCCTGTATTGTAGATGAGACTAAAGACTTTCTCTTGTCGATTAATAACAGCAACATGAAATATGGAGTAATTATCTTTTGAGTCGATTAGCCATATAAGATCAGGATATGCGTGAATAAGCAGAGTCAAAAACTCGACATTCCCAATTTTTGCAGCATCGTTGAGTATAGGAGTCCCGTGAAATAGTTTTAAAATTTCCTTGTCCTCTAAAGTCAGAATGTGTGTGCAGAGCTTCTCTACCAACTGACCGGCTTTTCTCCGCTTTTGAATTGAACCATATATCCTTTTGAAACCTACAAATCTTTGCTAAATTATTTATAAAATTCACGTTAACTACAGAGGTAAAAATTTGAAAAAAAAAAATATAAGAAAAAAGTGAAATAAATTTATATATTGATCATTCACACATAAAGCCTAGACTTTAAATTAGTGGGGAAAAATTTATAAATAAGGTGTTTAGTTTATACTAATTCAAAAATCATGTTTATAGTTTGAAAATTCAAAAATCAGGTTTTTTTTCCTACTAATATAATATAATAAACCCACCCCACATGCACCACCCCTACCGCTCCGTGGATTATTCCGGTGACCATTCCGACCACCACTCTTCTCCGGCGACTATTCCGGCTACCATTCCCGCGACCACTCTTCTCCGATTCAGGCGACTATTTCGACGACCATTCCGGCGACTATTCCGGCAATCATTCCAGTCACAAATTTATAATTTAATTAGTCACATATTATTTTTCAGTCACAAATAATAATTTTTGTACGTCACAGATTATTTTATAGTCACAGTTCAAAAATTTTATAGGTCACAATTAATTTATTGGTCACAGATTTCAAAATTAGTTGGTCACATATCAAAATTTATAGGTCACACAGTCACAGATTTCTAAATTAGTTGGTCACAGATTTTTTACGGTCACAGATTATATAATTTTTATGTGACAGATAAAAAAATGGTTAATGGTGAATTTCATTGGTCACAGATTATTTTTCAGTCACATATTGTCAAATTTTTAAGTCACAGTAACCAAGTACTTGGTCACAGATAACCAAATACTTGGTCACATACCACTGGCACCCCGTTGCCGCCATTACCACCATCGCCACCAACATCACCACCAACAAACCCACCACCACCGCCCGTTTCCTATCTAAATCCACCGCACTACCACCATACCCAACCCACAACCTCACCAACAAAACCAATGTCTCTACCGCCAGAAACCACCACAGCCACCAGACAGATCCAACAAACCTCATCAGATCCACCAACACCACACCACACCACAACCTTGCCACCAACAAAGCCACAAACAACAGCCACACATAGATCTGCCCTTCATCAGATCCAACCACAACCAACCACGAACAATAGCCACACATAGATCCGCCCCACACCCACAGATCTGCCGCCTCTCCGAGCCACAAACCACCGCCGAGCCACATACCCATTTCACTGTAATTTCCTTGTCCACCCAACTGTAATTTCCAGGTCGCCACATCCACCAGCGACGCTGCAGCGGAGCGCTGCTGCCAGCGTCGCTACGTTCAGCAGCTGCAAGAATGCTGCGCAGCAACGCTGCTGAACATGAGGGGGAGGGGCAGAGAGGAAAAGGGAGGGGAAAGGGGAAGGAGAATGGAGGGAGGCGGCGGTGAGGTGAGAAAGGTGAGAGAAATGAATTATTTAGGGTTTGAATTATTTAGGGGTGGATATATAATATTTAATACTTGATTTAATTATTAATTCAATAACTGATTTTTGATTAAATAAATTTCATACCTGATTTTTGCACTCTAATCTTTAAATACCTGAATTTTTATAATTTCCCAAATTAGTATTTGCTAAGAGTTACTTTGAAAATATAGAATAATCTATATTCTGATAATTTTGTGATTGTACAATGACCTTAATTAATCATCAGCAGACAATAAAACAAAACAATACAGAAACACAAAACACTGCATAATAAGTTCAATTAATATTTCCAAGCGGACGGAGTAATACACGTGCATGCGCATCCAAACTGTGTAGATACATATATGTCTACTATCAACTAGAAATTTTCAGGTAAATTAAGCTCGATTTTTTAATTAATTTATTGTTAGTTGAAAGTTAATAATGAAATAAAATGATCTTACAGGGAACGTTAGGGACGATTCTAACGAGATTTTCACATATCCATTCTTGACTTGTACCATAATCCGAAAAAGGTTTTTTTGCTAACTTGTGTAGAGCAAGTCCTCTCATGTCGTCTGGAGAAGAAGTAACTATACTTCTATCTTCTGTCAACATTTTTAATGCGATATCTGCACATAGGAAAATTGCAATATTGCAAACGTAATTTTCATTGTCATCTTGAAGTCATAGTTACCGTACGTACCATACATTTCAGTGTTGATAGTTGCGACAAGAATGTCCATGCGCTCCTCAGCCTTGAAATCTCGAAGAGGTGTAATATTGTAAAGATATTCAACCATTTTTTTGTTTCCCATCAAAGCTGCCGCTTCAATTGGGCTCGTGCTGGATCTGCATCGAATTGTTGGCAGAGTATTATTTTTTCCGTACATGACCTTGGCAATTTCTACATCCCCAGATGCAGCTGCAAACCAGAAAGCTGTATCTCCAAGATTGTTCTTAAATTCCAGGTCTCCTTCGTCCAAGTATTCGACTAGCATGTGGACAATCGCAGTTTGCTTGGAGAGAGCAGCTATGTGAAGAGCCGTTTCTCCTCTTTCTGTTATCAAAAGACAAGCTGCACTTTTGTCCGATCTCAGAACAGGTTCAGCAGCTTTCCAATCTCCTCCTAAAGCAGCTTTGTATAATATTAAACGACGCTTCAGATCTTCCCTTTCTCCCCCTGATGATGTTATGTTATCAGATATGTGTTAAACCAAATCCACTCACATAATCAAATATTAATATTTACATTGCAGTTTGTTAAAAATCCATCTAATTACTGTTGTAATTTGTTCAAATCATGCCAACAAGGGTTGATTTTTGGATACTTTCTGAGTATGGAAATATTGGACGAAATAAAATTGAAAAAGATGAATAACATAGGCACACCACTTCGTCGCCGGATAAAGTATACCCTTACCCTATATTTGATCAACTCTACAACTTGTAAAATAAAAGAAAATCAGAAACTTACATTGTTGAGCATTCGCATTGGAAATTGGATTTTCCACTCTGACTTCAACTTCGCTATGCATGCTTGGCAGCTCAACGGCTGGTGCCTCGACAACATCTGATGTTGGGGTTGTAGAAAATTAATTACACGAACCTTTTTAGAACAACAATTAAAATGTAACCCATGTTTGGTAGGGATTAAAATAAGATTTTTAGTATATTTTGATAAAAATTGATGAAATATATGATTAAAAAGTTGTTGATCCCATAAAATGTTTAAAATTAATTGTTGACTTTGATTTAGATTAAAATCTAACTTTTAATTTCTATCAAACAGAGGCTTATCGATTGAACGAGACTCAGTTTTAAAATTAAGGATTAAGCAATTGTACCCCTTGTTTAAGATGTGAACGTGTTATAATAATTGAATTAAATATGTAAGATGTGAAAGATGATGTGAGATTTCGCTAGTGTAAATTTGATAAGTCAGGGTGTAAATACAGATATACATGTAGCAAGATCTAAAATAAAATTGACCGTCGTTAATTGATGCTGCGTATTTGGACAATCACTCTCTAGATATAACAATCAAATTCATTGTTCAATAATAACAAGCAATTTTCGAAACTCTCTAATTTTAATGCAAAACTATATCTCAACAAAATAATTATAAATCGAATTTTTTATAAAGTGCACAAGATTATTTCTGTATAATTTCCAAGAAAATGAGTTGAATATTTAGCCAACAAAAATTAACTTACGATAATAATTCGAAACTAATAAAATAAAATAAATGTAGGCTATATTATTCTCTTTAAATCACCCAATAACGGTGTCTAACAATTTTATTTTATTGGATATAACTGCCTGTAACAGTTTTTATTTTACTGACAAGTTTATAATTGAAATAGGGATTTTGCTAGTGTCATTCCACATGCGCCCCGGACTGCCGTTTGGCAAAATCCTAGAAATAGATCTGGAAATAATTAAAATAATAAAATATTTATTTTAGTCAAAGAAACCCAAGTCAAATAACAGACTTGTAGAGTATGGGTTGAACCGTGTAATCTAAATCCCACACAAATTTCACATTTTACCACTCAACCAATTATCCCAATATAATTATTTCTTTCAAATTAAATATACGATATATATTTAACAGCGGCTTGTTTATAAACACGAATATCAAAGGGTAGGCACGAACCTGTACGAGGCAACTCCAGCCGATCAACCTTTGCATGTTCTGGTTCTCGTTCTGGATTTGGTTCATTGCCTTTTGAACTCACTGATTTATCCCTCCTTCGTCTTCTTTTACCCGATGGCCTAGAAATTTACCAAGAAAACTAATGTTCTACTGTTAATTGGTATCAGTTTGTGTTAGTTTCTACATATACGGTACATTTGATAACATTTCAACATTATACAAGTATCTGCCGATCAGCTATACTTCAGTACTTAGTCATATATAGAAATGTGAATGCTGATTATTCTGTGCAGGCTCCGATGATACTGCACCTTCTGTCATGCAGTCTGTAATGCAGGCTATACAACCAGCATTACACACGCTGCATGGAAAGCGTTACCTTGAGACTGAGCGAAGGTAGTGAATTTATAGCTGAAGTCCTAAATTATTATTCTTTTTTATTTTTATTTTTTTAAATTTGGGGGAAATTGCAGTATTTGTCTTCATTCTGTTGCCTTATTAGCAAATGAGTCTCTAATATATTTTCTCGACATTTTAAAAACTCTCAAATTACAAAATGGAGCTGAAATCCTTATTTTCAAATAGGGTCGGTCCTGAGAATTTTGAGATCCAATGCGACCAATTATATATGCGGCATTAAAGCATATATTTTTTTCAGGAGTAACAATACTTGCGAAAGGGGAGAGAATACATCACATGAGCAAGTTGAGACCATTCATCAACGGTTGAAAAAGAACCTTCGATTTGTAAAAACTAAAACCTAGTTAATTAAACAATTTATCTCAATTATTCATTTCAATCAAAACACGCCATTTAGTCAAAGTTTTCTCAGTTTTACGTACAGTTCTCACTGGGACAACTTAAAAGATTTGAGTTCTACAAGATATAATCTATTACGAAATCAAATAAAGAAGAACACCAGATATAACGTGGTAAACCCTAAGAGAAACATACACAGACCCAATGACATGAGTAAAATAATCCAAGAATAAAAAATACAATAGTTTCGATTTAGTAATTTCGCAAAATTAACTAAAACAATTAAAAGCAAATTACTGCCTGTAGAAACTAGTCGGTCTTTATTGGCGGCTTAACTGAAGTCAGTCCTAACTGACTGGCTTATCTGTTTGAACTAAAACAAATA